GAATTATATTGAATTGAATGGAATTATTTATGTATTAAATGAATTACGTTGTAATAGTAGTTTGCCCCTAGTTTCTAGCGCTATAATTTGTCGCACGTTGCATGAGTAAATCACTTAGTAATATAAAATGTCCTACATCCGTAAGATGAACTATTCCGCACTGTGATCCAAAACATGCATTTATTACATATCTTTTACTTAAATTTGAAATCACGAAAAATCTGAATCTGAGATTAGTTTTACGATACAAATAATTACTAAAAATGGAAATTTTTGTATGGAATCAATGCCTGTATGATATCGTAACGACGTGAAACTATTCTTTGTACAAGCTATTTTTTTCACAAATCCGACTTTCTGAAAGTTTGATTATCTCAACCCCCAAAAGAGTTATTGAATTTTTCGCGATTTTTTCAGAGAAACTCTGTTAAAAATTAATTGTATCTCAAAATTGATGTCAAATTCGGTTTTCTCGTGGTAAAAACTCCGCCAATACATATTTTTGAGTGTTTAAGTCTACATAAAGTATGACTTTTCGACGAAAATTGGACTCTTTTTCATAGGTTTTCATTTCATACATGAAATTTTTGTCCATCAACCAAAGTCGCTCAAAATCTAATTTTAGTTTCTATTCTTCGGGTCCCCCAATCATCTTGTGAAGTCAGATTTTGAATTACTTTTCTTTGTTTTTACATACAGCGTACAGCGTACATGGTACAGGGTGCGTACCCTGTGCGTACAATGCACATACATTCGGACATCGGAAAAACGACTGATCCGTCTTCCCTGGCCCCGAAAACACCCAGAAAACATGTTTTTGATGCGTGTCAATTTTTCGACCGATTCCAATACTTTATCTTACACACTAGGTGTGTGCGGAAAAGTAAAAAGCGTTGAATGGTTATATATATTGGTTATATTAATATGGTCCGGTCGTATTCCCAATTTAAATGCTCAAACCCTTCAAAAATGTCATCAAGTACCGAAAACCGGGTTGGTCAAGCAAACATTCATTTTTGGTGATTCTTATGGTTACAGCACATCCAAATTTGAACCAAAACAATAGATTTGGACACGATCATTAGTAATCAGCAAAATAAATTACGAAAAAATACCAAAGGGTGTCAAAAATTGGCTGTTCACTTCGCCTCATAGCATGTTGCATTGAAAAATTCATCATTTTGGATAGTGAAACATTCATCGCTATATCGAACCATGAATCAGATGCAAATGGTTTCTTTTGCATTGATTATGTTAGGGCACTTCTATATAAATCTAGAAACGTCGACAAACCGAACTTTGATAAAGGGGTGTTTGTATGGTAGGATCTTCTCTGGAAGGTGTCTTAGAGCCATTATTCGAAAAATAATTGCTGAAACCTCTATTAATTGCTTTATTATCAACCAAATATTGTTGTTATCGATTGAATTCGTTGAAAACTATCAGATTAAAGAGAAAATTGTGCTTCGCAAGCAGATAAAATCACAATAATGGCTCACTTTTTTAAAACTAGAATTTTCATGAAAATAGGACCATTTCTTAAACTTCACAAGGAGACACCAAATTAATTATTTCTCGTCTATGTCCAAAATACTTGAAACGTGCATCAATTGGTTGGATGAATTGAGAGAAAGTTGAAAGAAATCGACCAATCGGTCCGCCAAAGCATAATTTTGATGGTTCGACACATACTGAGAAATATCGAAGACAATGGTCCGTTCAGTGTGAAGTGAATGTGCTATTCGATAGCCTATGAATAAAGGTTTACACCAATAAAAATAAATTTAATATTGTGTGTTTTTTTTTTCAAATTGCGAACGTCTGAATTTAAAGACTTTTTACTCTATGTTATTTTGCGTCACTCTATATATACGTTAAAGACATGAAAATCTAGACCGCTGACTTTTGGAAAGGGGTTCTTTTAAATTTTAGTAGAACTCGGGCACCCAATTAAGAGTCCGCAAACATTTTTTAAAAATTTCAAAATTTGGCCACCAGGTGGCATTTCGAAAAAATGGCTGAAAATTCCTTTTTTTCCATTTTTGACCACCGAAATCCTTTTTTCGAATTTTTTTTTTTGACATATTCGGAATCTAGGGACCGCGTAGATAATGTTAAAACAAAATATCATCACGATCGGATGAGGAAATATGGTCATTTTACCAAAAATGCTGAAAAACCCGAAAATTGTCCGGTTGAGGTGTTTAATGTCCTCTTTTTTTCCGTACTTTTTGGAAAAAAGTTTTGAAACCAATTTTTATTGAAAGTAGACTGAAAACTGAGCAAACTAATTTCTCAGTTTCAAAACATTAGTTGTGCAAGTGGTTGAAGTCGAATATTTTTGGGAGTCCATTTTTGAGTTTTTCATCGATCGGACATTTTTCTTTGCATAATTCGGACCAGAGAAATTCAATGTGGCAACCGTTTCGAGAAATTAGTTCAATTTTTTCAGATTTTCCGGCTTGAAACCTTTCTGTTGGTATAAATTGGTTTTTCATTCGATTGCTATGCAAAATGGTATTTTGGTACGAGAAAACCGAATATGACATTTATTTTGCGGTAGAATTCATTCATGGTACATTTCCTATACAAAAATCTTCATTTTTTGCCGTTTTGAACATACTAACGGTTAACAAAATACTATCAAAACACATTTCTTTCGAAGTTCCCAGTGTGACGCAATACTGTAAATCTAAAAATGTTCTGATATAAATTTTCAGTGACGCGTTCACTCAAATATGTACAAAATGTTATTATTGCGTCGCCACTTTCGCCGCAAAAAATATGGAATTAACAGATTTACAGTTTTGCGTCACAATTGGAACTTCGAAAGAAGTGTTTTTTACTTATTATATAAACGCTAATCCCACTATTCCACTCATACGTCATTTCATTGTCATTCATAATGTCTTATTGTCGATATTTCATTTATTCAGAACTTATTTATTGATTTTGTCACAGATAATTTTGTATTATATTTGTTACGGATGTAAGACATTTTATTCCAAATCAAATTGATACACGTGTAGTAGCGTTATCAAAAAAGGTCGAATACGAAAACTTCATTGGCTTAAAGCCAAACACATTCTAATGTTTTTTTCACTCTCAGAAATGGGTATATTTAGTAAAACCATATATTTAAAACTCAATTTAATTATCACCATTCGTCTGATAATATAGTTTTCTATTGTTTATTTCATCAGATAATCGGAACAGCGAAAGTTTGTTACGCCAGTGAGAAGTCAGTAGTGGATCCGATAAAAAAACAAATGTCACTGAAAACAATAAATCTCACATTTGGTCGTCACATATCAGTAGATGAAGTACTACACTACACACCGCATCCAGCAGACCCGCAAAAAAAAACTCTACTCAAACAAGAGGCCACAATTAATGTCCAAGGAGTTCCGTTATCATATTACATGGAAGATATTGTCGCAAATCATATTTGTGCTAATGCAAATAAAGGTCGTCAAGGACTAGAATGGGTCATTTCGAAAATAAATTGCGAGGTAAACTGTTAATACAAAGAATTTGATTATTTTTTAATGGCGTGATAATGAATAATATGTTTTACATTTTACGAATAGGTGAAAGGAATTGCAGATGCAGTAAGCAAAAGTACCGATGATATTATCCACCTAGAGTATTTTAAACGAAATGAAGAATTGAAGAATTAGTATTTATTAATATATTTGTTTTGCCCTCCAGCACATTTGGAAAGAGAATAAAGATATATAAATATTGTATTGTGAAT